ATACTTACTTCTCTTGTCCTTCTCCTGACAGATTAGGGAGCAGTTTGAAAAGACATCACTGCCTCACACTGCTTTTAAACATGATCAACTTTCTCCTACCAAATAAATCACAGTGGGATTCAAGTGTTTATAAATCCTTGGTTCAGCCTCCACTTTACCGGTTGCTTGGAGACGCTGCCTGTTCGGGGGTTACAAGTAGCGTTACACGCCATATAACCGAACAGGCCAGATCACGTCTCAAAGTACAAAAAAGGTGTTTTGTTTTTTTTTATTCAGGAGACACACAAAAGCCCTTTCACATGTTGCATTATTTTTTTTAGATGGGCTTACTTCGCATTTAGCTGTTGGAATAAAAGAAACCCCTCTGCCCCAATTCATCTGCTGTGGAGGCTTTTCAAGGGGAAATTAATTAGCTGGGTCAGACTGACCTGTGACAAAGAGAGCAGAGATTTACCCAGCGGCTCACACAAGGAGACAAGGGACTGAGAAATCTTTATCTTTTTAAAAGCTTAGTCTTGAGAATTGCATGTAGAAATGTTGCCCACAACTTGTATCACTTCAATGTATGAGGTTACAAACCTGAGAAAAGCCATGTTTGTACAGAATCTGTGCATTTAATGAGCTGTCCTTCAGCCTCAGATGTTCCTGTAACTTTTTCCCAGATGCTTGATGTTGTGCAAGGCTCCATGTGAATTCACCAGTAGCTACAGACAGATTTTGACATGTTTATGCCTCTCCAGCAGCTCGAACGTAGTTTCCCTGTGACGTGTCATTTTTTGGCAGGTGTTCAGATATGAGCTGTATGTGCCTGTGAGTTGTCAGAGCTCAGATCACTCTGCGGCCATGCGACAGGCCACAGATATGAAGGAGAAAAGTGGGGTTTTCCACGCGTGGAAGGTGCTGCTGGTGGGGATGTGTGTGCTGCTGCTGATCCTGACCTTCTGTCTCGTGTTTCTGCTGGTTCGGCAGAAGGAGCTGTCAGAGGAGCTGCTCAGGTTGGACGGACAGATCCAGGAGCTGTCACAGAGCTGCAGGCTGCAGGCAGGAATCATGTCCACGGACCATGGTGAGGCTGCAGAGCTGAAGACGCTCCAACGCAGCAGGAGGAACCAGGAGGGGGAACAGACACAAAGTCGAGACGAGAAGGACATGCTGATGCTGATGACATACTCCATGGTCCCTGTAAGATACTAAAATGCTTTAATATGGGCTGTTTTGTGAGATTGTGAATATACAAGTTCATTGACTGTACTTTAGAAAAAACTCATTAATGTTGTTCTGATTGCTGTTACTACAACAGAGAACAGGGGAGGAATCTTTTCTCACAGAGACCTTTCCTCTGTTTTTCCCTGTTGGGATAAGAAGCATTCATGAAATGCAAAGAATCCAGGAGTCTGTTGCAGCGATTAAGAAGGGGTGTTTTTTTTCATTGAGTGTTCCCTGGATGAGTACTGTTGAGCACCGGGGCATGACGGTGACCTGCTCCACCCTCAGCTGTACTCATATCCTCTGAGAGCTTTTCCCTCTACACATACTGAATATTGTGACAACACATTCACCTCTGCTACACAAGTATTTGACAAAAATATAGGACTGGGAACTTACATTTTTATCATCATCAATAAATGACTCTCTGAATTAAGCTATCAGCTGTTTAAGCAAGACATTCAATTCAATTGGAAGCCTTCAGTGTCATTGCACATTGTACAACCAGTAGCTGTGTCCCAGTGGTATAGATACTGACATACAAATAGACATATTACAGTCTTATAGTCTAATGAATAAATATAAAAACAAACAATAAATGAAAAAAAAAGAGGTATTAAAACAGAGTATATGTACCAATATGTACTCAGTTATATTGCACACTATAATAATATTTCTCAGTTGGAATATTATTGCACTTAAAATTAAAAGTTAAATTCTTTAAATCTACTTTGAGGTTTTAGGACCTGTAGCGCCTTTTCTGCTCCAGGCAGAAAAGAGCAGCAGCAGGAGAAGAAGAAGAAGCAGAAAAACGGTGACCCCGTGAACCGTGTCCACCACCATGGGGCCGAT